CACACACACACACACACACAGGCTGCACACTTTTACACTCAAGAACTCAGTGAGTCAAAGCAAAATTTATATTTTTATTATATTGCTAAAGCTGTCATTACACAAAAAATAACAACCTTTAACTTCCTGAAACAAACTGCATCGTAGCCTGTTGAGCTGTACAGGGACAGACGGAGAGGTCAACTCTCCTCAGGGGGGATAATTAGCTAGGAACTAAACTAGAGACCAGGTTTAATCGTACTTTCAAATCCTCACAAACTATAGACTTCTTATTCATAGGATATACTGGCAACTCTGATATAATATATATATTTATGCTAGCAATTTAAATATGGAAATTACAGGTTGATAGTATAAGTTTTAGACAGGTGGACGGCCAAAACACAAATGCAAATATTAACATCATGAACAATATCAAGAGCTGAATGCTGAGCTTCCAGAAACATCTAAGCTGTGACATTATCTTTGCTGTGTTGAAATCAAACAGCACAGGGGTGATCTGTATGCAGGTGGTCTGTGATACATTCCCCTGTTCAAACTGTGGGTTTAATTCAGGGACAAAAATGATATCTTTGCTTTTGTCATCCATTCTTCTGCTGTCATTCCTCCTATTGTACCTTGCTATTTCATTAATATATAAGACACCTGTTTAAAATATAGAAACAAACTGGGTTTTCATGCTTAGATGTCTCTGGAGCACTCAGGTCAGACATGGTGGGCAGCGTGTCATTTGTTCAAACATGTTAAGATAAGATGCTCAAGAACATTTTACTTCCTATCAGTTGTATGTAACTGGGGTACAAGCATTCAAATTTAAATTACCCTTGGAGACAGCTCAAGTTTGCATGTCATTATCTCTTCCTGCAAACCTAATTTCAGGGCAGTTATCAGTCCACTCTCAGCTCAGTCGCTCCAAAATATGTGTTGAACAGAATTTTTTATTTGTACAAATGATAAATTGATGATTCAGACAAACTCATTCAGAAGAAAATGCACCGTCTTGACTGAACTGAAGTGAACTCTGCATCATGCAAATACCATTTGTCCCAAAATCTGAACCCATAATACTGATGCAGGCCTCTCTGTTATAAAACCAAAACTTACTTAACTTTTGAAACACATTTCAGACTTGTAAAAGTCCGAGGAACACACTTGGTTGTAGCTGCTGTTCACTTTTTAAACCAGCAAGCTTTTATGCAAATTTTTAAAACGCAGTGCAATTATGCAAATGTGTGAAATATGGGACTTAAAAGAATCGTAGCAGGACGGTCGCCGACATTTCACCGGTGAAACAACACATCATTAGATAGTACATGCATGGATAGAGAAAACAACTCTATTAACTCTGATACTTTATATACGTATAAAAATAGGATGAGGAAAAAAAAAAAAGATTTAAAGACTTAAGAGGAGAAAATAAATTAAAAACGTGTGAGTTCTTGGACTAACTTGTGTAGCTAAATAACATTTACAGTTTCATACATCTTGTAGTAGCCATGGTCTCACAGTGCTTCAACTGAAAAGCTAATTCAAATACAGACTATAAGTCAGTTTCAGCCTATAGTCTTACAATGCTGCAGTCTGAAGAAAAGCCTTACATCTCCAAATAAAAACAGAATATTTTAAACTGTACCTATTGTGATGTGCTTCTTAAATTATACAGTGGATTTTTATGTGTTTCATGTCTGTACGTACTGGACTTGTCACCTTTTGATATTGCAAAAACTCACCAGAACTGGAAATGACGGATGTAAAAACCTAGTAAGTCAAAAGGAAACAAGCATGCATGCTACATGCGTTTCAAAGAAGACAGAAGAGTTCAATATAACAGCAACCAGACAGAATAACAAAACCAATATGGCGTTACAGCTTTCTAACTTTAAAACATCAAAAATATGTGTCCTCATTAACGTCTATAAAATGTTTAATAACACATATAAATTTGAATTAATATTGAGTTTTTGACATGGCACATCTGTACTTTGACATTTATTAGTAATGTTATGAGCAGCAGGTTGAAGTATGGCTAATAAATGCTACAAAAAAGAAGGGGCTAATATATATATAAGGGCTAATATATATAAACATAAACCACTGAGGAGTTCTACAAAGCTCAGCATGTAGATATTGTAGATTAAATGAGATTCATACTGGGGAGAAATGTTGAAATATAAAACCAATTCACATCCAAAGGTAATGGGCTTTGACGATCATTACGTGAAATTAATAAACATCCTGTTCAAAGATGTGAAACTTAACGACTGTGGCACAGTGGAGGAGCAGAAAGAAAAATGGGGAGCGAGAAGCACCGACTGAGACGTGAAAAATTATTTACAAATCATGTAAATGCTAAAACTAAAACAGGACGTAACTTGTAGTGTCTCTTAATGTCATGGCATCAACCATGTGACGCTTTAGTCACACTGTAGTCTCCCAAACTCATTTGCTTTTTGAGGAGCTCTCTCTGTTGGGCACTCCTCTGCCTCTGTTGTGGACAAACTGTATTTAGTTTTGACAACGCAGCACCTTCCTGCAGCCATCAGGGCGTCCCTCCAAGTAAGCAGTCAACACAAAGCAGGAGATGCCAAATGGTGCAATCAGAATCCGACCACTGGAGCCATTGCTTTCTGGTGCGTCTGAATATTGCTCTCTTGATGCTGTGAAGTACTTGCATTGGTTATTGCGCTCCTTCTGCCAAATCACTAGACAGTTAGAGCGCTTATTTGTCCAACGATGCTCTAAGTGATGAGAATTCACACATATTACACAGCGTCTTTTTACACTGAGAGGAGGCAGACACATCATCCTTGTCCAACCCTCGGCTTCAGGAAGAATACTGGATACATGTGTGTAAAATACGTCTTAACTGTCCTCTTATAGAAATGAACATATTGTGGTGTAATGCAAAAAACATCCTTGTGTTTTACGTTGTCATTGGGCTCGAATTTGCAAAACATTTTAGTGCTTTTCGAGGACCTGTATAAGAAACTAGGTCTTGTCCTTGTACTCCTAAAGGCTCGTATAATTACTTGACTGAAGTGGGCCTGTCATCTGCTTTAGGTCCACACCAATATTTCACCATACCTAGCTTCACAGAATTTCTGACGCATCATGAGCCAAATCAGAAAATGTCAACCTGATCAATACATATCTATATATTTCTGTACTGGATCATTATAAATGGCTTCTGCAGTGAGGGATTCTCACAGGGGAAGATTTACAGAATGAGAAACGCTACATGTAGAACAGAATACATTTCTCAGACTAGCGTAAGAGGCCTTTTGATTCTGTACACCGCCTTTCTAGCATCAATTTTTCTAAAGCCTTTAACCTCATTTACAAACACAATGAAGGGAGAGCCTCACTTCTGTGATGTGAGCTCATGTCATCATGCTATGCGTGGTGCGGAGCGGTCGTTGGTGAGGGTTCTCTTGAGCTTGACTCCCTTGCGGATAGCCACCAGCATGTTGCCCTCTAACTCTTCTCCCTCGTCTCCTCCTCCTTCCTGCCCTGTCTCGCTGTGAGGGTACTGCTGCTGCTGGTTGGGCAGGGGAACAGTGGGAGGATTGGTCGTAGCCTGACCGCTCCAGGACATCACAGGCAGCGTGCCAGTATCCTCCCCTCCTGCAAATGTTGGAGAGTCTGGGCTCTCTTCTCCTCTTCCTCCTCCCATCTCCTCTGCACTCCTGCTCCCGTTAACTGCTGCGGACATGTCAGGCACCGTGGGGATTTTTACTGGGATCATAGGCGTACGAATCGGGATGGGGCCGGTGCCCACAACTGAGCCTGACCGCCGGGCGGACGGTTTTGAAGAGGGGGTGCGTCGGATTGTGGCAACCCCAGGGGTGACGATAACTGGACCGTGGCTTGTAGAATAAGAGCCAGATGGATTATGGGAGCTTGATCCAGAGTAAAATCCCTGACCTGAGCACGAGCCTGCAATGGCAGAAAACAAACACATAAACCACCATGGAACATCCAGGAAGTAAAAACAAAGATTTAAGTGTACTCATCCAGTTGTGACACCATCAGTGCACTCTGTACCTGTAGGAGTAGGAGGATAAGCCCCAGTGTGGACAGGTGTGGGGGGATAGGGCCCTGGAGGGTAGGCCCCCTGTCCGTGGTAAGGAGTCTGTGTGCTGGGCAGGCCGGCTGTGGAGGCTGGCCGTTTGCTCTGGAACATGAGTCGGTAGGACTGACTGATGTCGCTGTTTCTGGGGATGGTGGACGACTTGTCAAAGTCCAAGTGCTGCTGCTCAGGCTCCTGATCTCCGGCCATTGAGAAATAGTCATAGTCTGACACTAGGAGGAACAAATTGAGGGGTTAACGATGAACAGATGGCCCATGAGATGGTACATTATGAAACCAGGGGACAAAAGAGTTAAGCAGTGTACTTTAAAATGGCACCCATCTGATCCCACAGTGTTACCTTGTGATGGTATTGTGTCTTCAGAGCAGCAGGGTGTGTTGGTCTGCGTGCTGTAGCCGCTGGAACAATGAATAGAGTCTCGACTGGACCTCTGGGTGTCCAGCTCCAGACCTCTGGATAGAGCCAGAGCCAGTTCCTCATGGGCCTCAATATCACCAGCCTATGGCAATCACCCAAAGGAAAAAAAAAACATTTAGTATGTTCTAAAAGTCTCACTGTTTGGATACAGCCAGACACGATTCATTAAAGTCATTAAAATCATTAGGTGCAACTCATTAAAGTCATTAAATGGGAACATTAGTGGTGGGAGGCTCATTCATGTGGTCTAAATGCCATGACTGCAAAAACACTGGCCTGCTGGAAAGTTGAATGTGAGGTCGCCTGAAAGTTAAGCGACACAGATGGCGTTAAAAGTAGACTGACCTATGTTAATATGCTTCGTCCAGCACTGGCAAAAGTAGAATGAATCACTTATGGACTTTTGCTGGAGTACTTATGTTTTTAAACACACAGAGACAAGACAAAATGTCTAAAATCAGTATGGACCTTATAGGGTGTTAATACCACAGTCTTCCTTATTAGCACCTAATAAATATGGTATATTCTTATGTAACAAAACACAAAACTACAGGTGTTAATAGTGTCCAAATAACTCAGAATACGTTCTCCATTCTAAAGTGAGGTCTGGCTCGTAACTAATTCACTATTTGTTAATCTTTTGTAGCCCACACAGGTTCCCTATTCTTAAGTTGTCTCCTCTTCACGCTAAGTAAATCCATTATATCACACAACTGCTGCAATTAACAGGCCCCATTCTTAAGTGATGGGTTAGCCCTTTAAGAAAATGGAGGTCTCTTGATGCACAGATTCTATTCCCATTCAGAGGTAGAAGGACAAAGTCAGCACAAGTAGAAATATCTCTTTGTTAATGGACCATTACAGAGATTTAACATATCTATTAAAATATACTGCCTTCTCACTTAAGAACAGAGAGCTATAATATGCCACTGATATGCATGCTATTAAGCAACTAGTTCTGAATGAAGGCAGGCTGTGCTTGTATGAGACGAAGGCTAAAACTGACCTTGAGAGGTGCAGCCACAGCTCTGTTCTTCTCCTCTACTGATGCTGATGTTTGTAGTGCAGCCGGAGCTGGTGCAGAGGTCAAGATGGAGGCCGGGCCTGATGACGGGCTGCTGTCATTACTCACACTACCATTACTGTCCACAACAGCTGGCATCTCCTTGTCTTTCTTCCTCCTTAGTGTGTTGACCATGGGCTGGTCATAAGGGCCTGGCTTAGCCCAGTCCTGCAGGGAAAGGCGTGTCAGTGTTCACTGTCAATACTTTCTCTGTGCTTTCTCTGATGTGGTTTTGATGAGCAGCTAAAATCCCCCCCCCTTATTTCACTTCTCAGTTTTAAAGTCTGCAGATTTAACCAACGTCTAAACAAAGCAAACTGATGACTTATACATTCACAGCAGTAAAAAAATGAACAAGGCCTGTGTGTCAAACAAACTTGGAATAACTTGATCCAAGACTGAGGTGATGAACAAACCTTCCAGCTGGGGACTCGTGATGAAGGCACCATTGGGGAGCCCAGCATGCAGGGATGAGTTTGGTCTGGCAGCAAGGCTGAGGTAGGACGTGACCATGAGCGAGTGGGGCAGGAGGAGGTGGTGTGGGATGAGGGGGAAGTCGGGAAGAAGGGGAAGGCAGTGCCTGACCCTGAGCCCAAACTTCCCCCGTTACTATGCATGTAGGGGGAACTGACCGGGCTGTAGTGGTCAAAACCATTGGACAACTGGATGTGTGCGCCGGTGGGAGGAGGGATGATAACAGAAACCGACAAAATAGAACAAACACACAATGGGATAAATTACTGAAATGATAAACAGAGGAAAATAACAACAAAACAGACCACATCACTGAGGAAAAATCATTCAAAGGAACACAGAAATAATGAGGAATCCATATTGATCATGTCAACACACAACAAAGGAAACGATCACAAATGCCGAATGAATGAAAACATGCTGGGGGGTTTTGGAGGTTCCTTCAACACTCCTTTGATAAATTAAAGTTGATGCAATGTACGGCCAAGTTTGAAGTTTAGTATGAGGAAGCTGTAGTGCATGTACTGCTGGTACAAAGAGGGTTAAGGTTCATGGTGGGTGAGTGTGTTTCACCTTGTCAGTAGTGTGCTGAGGCGCACTAGCAGCAGCGAGAGGAGAGGGGGAGCTGCAGTCACTGTGGAGCTGCCCAGTCTCTGATACCTCAGAGGACCTGGAACTGGGACAAGGCTGGGACAGCGAGGACAGCAACAAGCAGGCAGTGGGGGAGGGGGGTTGAGACAGACCGAGGGAGGGGGGGAGAATTGCAAAGAGAGACATGTCAGCAGGTAGACGGAGAGAAGCAGAGAGAAGCAGTTTGTTAGAAAGCAAACTTTTCCACAGTTCTCAGCAGTTAGTGAGGAGTACAGCCAAGTCACTACAGAGGCTGTGGAGAAGGTGCACTGGGAGCCATAGCAGCATTAATTGCATGGACATCAGCAGTGTTGGAGCTTTGTTAAAAGGAAGCACAAGCAAAATTCTTCTTCTTCTTTAGGGTGTTGAACATATCCTCACAAACTCAACATGTGTGACACATGATATTAAAAGGGATCTATTAGCCCTGGTTATTTTATTAACATTAACAGTGATACTTAATCCATGCCTATAGGGGAACAATCTGTTTGCATGCTGCCCTTCAGAAGGAGATTAGGAGTTGGGACAGCTACAAACTGCTAACTGCTTTATTCAGTGTTTTTCCTGGTTTAAATCACCAGGTCTGTTTGTTTTGGAGAGGAAGAGACCTCTGCAGATAATTCCACTCATGGTAAAAACCTTGTGAATGTTTGGATCTTAAATTATCACAGAAAAAAGGTGAGCACACATTAGCAGGTGCTCGGCTAGCGGCCCATCCACGTGCCAAACAGCATCAGAGAAACACTGTTTTTTAACATGAAATAATTTAGAATCTCTCTTAAAATCTCATTCCCTTGCAACCATGGTAACTGCTTTATTCAGTGTTTTTACCAGTTTAGTTTGTTCTGTGGATAATTCTGATCATCTGCAATCCTCACCTCTACATGCTACTAAATCCCCCTAAATCTTACACACTATTACTTTAAGGTGCAAGTCCCTATAAGTGCGGTTTAGCCATCAGACTGTCCTCCTTAAAACATAAACTACTGTAACTACACCAAGAATGAGGCAGCGAGAGGGCTGATTCCTAGGACTGTACTGTAAATGGGTCAGGTATGGACTTGCCAAACCACCTTCACTGCATCATAAAAACTTGGAGTCTAACTAAACCAATGTGTTCTGGATGGGGGAACTTTGGTTGCTGGCGCGCTAACAAAATGTCAGCTAGTGCAGCCGCTTCTCACGGTTGATCTCAAACCACAAACCCCACGCAGATAATCCTCTGGACTATCACATTGATAATTATCTGAAACCCTCTGTTAGATGGTTAGATAAGACTGACAGAGCGAGACCTGCCCTTAGAGACGCATTCTTAGTGGATGTAAAAGAGACTGTCGACACTGTAACATGTCATTTTACTGTGATACATTTAATGAAAATACAACACGCAGTATGCTTAAGCCAAACCACAGTCTGTCACAGCGGTCTACTCTTTAATAGCAGGATGGGGCTGACCTGTTTTGCCCTGGGCTAGAATGGAGGCAGACTAATTTCCTGAGCATTTATGCTATAATAATAGCAGCAAAATGACTTCACCATGATCACATACACTTACTGCTGCCAGTTAACTGCCTCCCATAGTGGCTAGGGAGATGTGTGAGAAAAGACTTGTGCGGATTGCTGGTTTGGGGTTTTCTCTCTGTCTCTGACTACAATGACTTGTAAATCACAGAGCATATGTGGTTTTATAGTCTTGTCTCAACCATGTGTACATACTTAGAGGCAAAATTATGGTTCAGTGTGGGTAGCTGGGGGTTTTTCTTACCTTTGTTTCAGCTGGCATGGGCGAGGATGATTTGGACGATGTGTATTGGTCGTGTGATGAAGAGATGAAGCCCGAGTCGTGGGAGGAGATGCTAGAGAGCCGGGCTGGGGCCTGCTGGGGTAGCGTGGAGCTACGGTACCGATGGCGGGGGTGATGGTGGTGGAAGAGGTGGTGTGAGGAAGAGGAGGAAGAAGAGGAGGAAGGAGAATGAGAGTGAGAGCCACTGGATCCCCTGGAGTCACTACTGTTAACGCTGTTCAGACTACTGTGAAAGGGGAAGGAGTGAGGGATGAGGGGAGGACCAGAGGAAGGAGAAGTTTGGCAGTGACAGGCGGGGTGAAGAGAATCAAGTGCACCCAAAGACATGGATTGAAAAAGGAAGGTTGGGTAAGAAGGACATAAAAGGAATAAAAGGGAGGGAATGGAGGCGGGGGATTGGGGAAGACAGGGTGGGAAACAATTAACACGGCACACCAAGATGCAGCAGGCAGTGACTGAGGCCAATCCAGTCAAAACAACAACACAAACCAACAAAGGAGGCGTAAAATCATAATGACAATAATTACAGGCAGGAAATCACAGGATTTCTTGCCTTTGGGCCATCTTTTTGAGAATATTCAGATGAAAAGCAACAACAGCATAAACACTGGGTCTAATTATTGTTTGAAATAAGACTTGAAACTAACAGTTTATATATCTGAAGCAGATATAAAAATAACATATTGCAAAGTCTATACAATGAAAAATATGTACATATGTGCCAAATCATGTACAAACTTGACAATAAAATACACAAGAAGGCAAACTGCAGTTTAGGCTTATAGCACCAATCATGCACCAAAATTTGCAAAGCATCGAAATCATAAAAGCAGCTGTCTCATGATGATTTGTGAATTTAAAAAAAATCACCCATCTAAGAATCAAGAAAAAAACTTGTTGAGGACTGAAACTATTAAACTCCTCTATGGCAAATTTAAAATGTTTTCAGAGCCTGAAGGCTTTTTAACATTCTCATCATAACATAAGAGGTAATTTAACATTTTGATTCAATCATAGAAAACCCACAACCCCAAAATTGACATTACAAGTTTTAAACAGGGGAAATGCAAAGCAATGCACCACCCAGGCATTACACTCTCTTTCTTTACACCAGAACAGTTCAGGAAAAATCATTGGGAGGCGCACAAAAAGCAGGGAGGATAGACGGTAGAAGACATGGTCTGAACACCTACAAAACAGAAAGTCTGTTTTTTTTTGGGTCCAATTTTAAAAGTTCTCTAACATGTAATCCTTAGTTGTTTTCATACATTTATCTGTCTGCCTTTTCTTTGACAATGTAGTCCACTTCAACTGCATTTGTCAGTGAACTGAACTAATGAGCTACTATCACTAACAAAGAGGAGATGAAGCAGAGGTACAAAGAAACTGAGATAAAGAATTTGCAAACTACTCCAGCTCATACTGACCACTGGGTGGCAGACATAGACTGGGCAAGTTTTCTTCCATGTCCTTGTTCCCTTCTGCATTACACACTAATACAAGCTGTCTCCACAACCAGTAAAAGGGTCTACAGGACAGATTTCCAGACCTCCGTACATCATGTGTGTATACATGTCATGCTATAATGTAATCTTTAACTTGACCAGATGTAGATATTGAATGGAGCTTCATCTCCTCATTCCTTAGGTCTTGGAAATGGTTGATGAAAATAACCGGAGTTATTTAATTTTCAACATCATTTTGAAGCACACTGGAGCACAAAAAGCCTTCATGGGTACAGTCGGTAAAAGTGTATTTGAAAAAAAGAAAGAAAAAGCCTTTCTTTAATTCATTATGGCTATGCGTGCCTACCTGCACATGCTAGACTTCCTGGACATAGTGGTGCTGGGGGATGAGGGTGGCGTTTGATATGACCAACCGTAATCTGAGCTCTTCAGGTCCAGGATCACCTGAGAGGGAGGAAAATATCGGTCATACTTATTAGTCGTACTTGTCATGAGGAACAGCACTTAACAAAGCTATATTAAATCCAAGCAACCCCTTACAAAAAAGGTCATGCAGGACCAAAAGGGTTTGTATTGTGACAGTGAGATGAAGGTCAGTTGTTTTCACACCAGCTGTTTCATCATTGATATTTTCCTCACCTGTTCACTAGCAGGGGGAAGCTTGTGTGGGTCAGAGGTCAGGGCTTTGAGGTCATCAGAGATTGCCTGGAGATGGGTGACCTCTCCCAACATGGAAATCTCCTCATCCTAAAAGAATAAGTGGCAGGGAGAGAGAACAGGTTTGTAGAAGGTAGAAAGAAGAGAAAGATTAAGTTGAATGTATGAAATTGCACCTTTTCAGTCTGTGGGATTAAAACAAAGACACTGGAATGACGTAACTTTCTGTTGTTCCCTGAGTGCTTTCCGAAGGCTCATTTCTCTCCTTATCCCCTGCTGTACTCACCACTACAGGCCGCAGCATGGCTACGAAGCAGCAGAACCTCTGCCTGTCCTCTATGAGAGCCTTCCTCAGGGCCTGCTTCTCTGTCTCTTCCAGCAGAATGTATTTATCGCTGACATCCTGCATGGCGCTGTCCAGCTGGGGTTGGATATCACCACGACCTTGGAAACAAAATGGACACACAAAAAGAATATACACATCATTATAGGGAAAACACACAAGGGAACACGACCTGTCTATTTACTACTTCACAGCGTACTGAGATACATTTCACCACTACACCTGACAATATTCTCCATCTTTCTTCCTTCACAACACAAACACTAAAAAGAATAGAGTTATGTGTAACATGCACGAATATTCACAAACGATATGATCATGTAGCAATGAGAGAACATTTGGTGTGGCCTGGACTGTTACTACTGCTCTACATGTTAATCTTTTCATTGTGAATGCTGCTATCTTCACTGCGAACATTTGAATGTCCCCACGACTTTTTGGCTATCACCGCCACATGAAGGGCCACTTTTGTCATGAAGTGCTTCCTGTCTCTTGTTCAGAGGTGGCAGGAAGGTTATCTACTTTCGACTAATCTGTTACTCTTCTTGAACTTCAATCCATTATGCTGAGATAGCCAAAAGTGAGAACCTCTTTTTGACTATCTCTCAACCTATGCTTTGTCAAACAATTACATTTCCAGAGTTTTTATAGACGGACATTGGATTCAGGTCTTTCTCAAAGGCCATCTGGTCCATGTACTGTCATTATGCATATGTAAATCCAGGAATGTCTACGGGCAATTACAGCCCCAAGGTTATCCTGTTGTTCAGCGCCGTGTGCATCTTTGTGCTGCACGTATATAGGTGTGTAGGGTTGGATGCATTTCTGTGGGTGAGTGTATGATTTTAAGATTGGATACCCTGAAGCCAAATCAAGCCCTCTTGAGTTCTCTTAGGAGGCAGGAAGGCTGGCGATTGCCCAAGATGACATACAGTGGGCCTCAAAGGCATTATCTAACCACTTGAACTACACTTACACACACATGTATACACACACAGTCTTGACTTTCATACATCAAGGTTAAACCCACAGTGAGCAACTCTGTGGTCTGTCTGTCTGCTCTCGTGTCTTGGGAAAGATAACAAACTGGCATCTTTTGTCGACATTTGACGTGCGGTCCTATATCATGCAAATCAGTAGTAAAGAAACACAGATAGAGTTACGCAGGCAAATCAGCTTCACCTCAAATGTAAAACATAAGGATGTGCGTCTTATCTTGAGGACAAACCAACAGCTTTTTCCTCTCTAATGTGTCAGTATACATTATGTATGATGCAGGATGTGGGAAGCTCTGTTTCCACTGCTTTATCTCCCCATCAGTCAACTTGACCACAATTAAAGTGACAATAAACAATGGCTTCAAGCACACACATAAATACTGAGTTGACACAAAAGCACCACATGGAAACTCTTCCTGTCATTATGTGACCACTAGCATTGCAACAGTTGACATTACTGAGAACTGGCTAAATGTTTTAATCACTTAAGTTCCTTTAAGATCGTGTTTGTACACAAAGGGAGAATGTGCAATCACATTGAACTGCTTTTTTCATTCTACTTTTCACGAACTTTTCAAGTATGCCTCGAAATTCTCAGAACTTGATAGTTGTTGACAAACTGAGTTTCCATATAGAGGGAATCCATCTACCAAGCTTGGTTTGGTGGCTGTAACACTAAGAAGAATGTGAGTTATGTGTGTGTTTATGGGAGTTTCTACTCTATTACCCTATGGAGACCATGATGGAGTAGATGGACCGTACAAAGTCCAAATTGCGGTATATATTTTCGTCTCATATAGATCTGAAGACCTTTTTTTAACAGATGAGTATACAATTACATTGTACAAGGTTTTGTGGAGAACTGGCTGTATGACTGAATCTGAGAGGGCTAGATAGGCCTCACTCATTAGTCTGGTTTCCACTGCAGGACCAAACTCATTATTATTCACTTCCCTCCAGGCAAAATTAGTCTCTTTCCATCTTGTTGCCAAGGAAATTATTAGTAAGCTAGGCTGACGTTTCAAATAATGTTTTAATCACTAGTTATAAACAGCTGGTCGATCGTTATTGAAAATTAATGCAAAAAATCATTATAAAGAATATCTATTAAAGTAAAATGGCACTGGGGCTTTATGGAACAACGCCATGGTAACAAAATATGCTTTGAGTGAGTATAGGCTCTGTTGTGATGCTCCGAGATACACGTTAATGTGACAATTAGAAATATTCCTGTCACATCACAACTTTGTTTTCAATAAACTTTAGGCCTCAGTCGGCCTAAATGTGGTGTCTCCTTGGCATCCAGTTAAACGAGGGAGCACGCTGTATTCTGGTTTTCTCCCACTAGTTCAAGTCTTGGCAGGCTGTATTCTCAACATAACCGCAGTGGGTTTGGAAAGACGCTGCTGAAAGTTGAGGCACTTTGTCTGAGACGGGTGGAAAGCCAAATATTTTCTTTGTTGCTGTTTTGGTAGTGCCCGAGAGTATCTTGAGTAACGCTTAACATTATCACAAACAGTGTCGCACCACTTCCTTGTGATCAAGAAGCACTTGATCCCTTCACTCACTTAATTACGTGAGAAAGTTTGACTCTTGTCCGCAAATGCAAACAAACTGAGTCATTGATATTTGAGTGGAGCCCTTTAAAGTGAATCACGAGGCCATCAATTCTAAATATGCGTACGCTCATGATACTAGCTCATGTGGAAACTGACCATAAAGGGTAAACATTATGAACTACTATCAACTAACCACATATAGACTGAAAAATATCTTTAATATCCAACCAAAAGCCATTATCGTTACTCAATCAGCTTGAGACAGACATCAGTGTTGATGTAAAAGACATAATTGCAGGGATTGGAGTACATAAACACACATACACAGACACAGTGACACACATGTGTGCAGAGACAATGCAGGCACATCCTGGCACGAGTTGTCAACTTGTGGTAAGCAAAGAGGTTGTTAGTGCTGAATGGAACACATTCCCGGTGCCTGTGCCATAACTTGAGCATCTGTGCTTGTGCAACTATGTGAATGACGAGGCCCTGATTGCTACTTCCTCTTTCTCTTCAACCACAGACAAACACTGAGGTTCACTGAAGGTCAATGGGCACTGACTGCATAGTAAACAAATCCGCCCTGAAAGTTATTTCACAAGCCGCTCAGTGTTTAATTAAGGACTAGTGCTTAACTAGTGCTTGTGACACGTAGTGAGGACTGCTTTTTTTGGATTCCCTCCCTGAGGATGACTAAGTGATGATACTGTAGATGTCATGTTGGCGTGTCTTGAATGAACCAACGCATTGTCTCCAAGATATGGCACCACCAAAACACACACCCTATTGTACACTTTACCTGTCAGTTCAGATAAGTGACATCATTTTGTTAGGTAGACTGTGTAGGTTAATTAGATTGGTAGCTAATTTGCTCATTGTCACTTCAAACACAACAGCCGGGTCAGTGAGGACGAGAAGTGTTGTTGTGTGTAAACAAAAAACCTTACAGCAAAACAGTTTCCTTCTATTAGATTTGCTGTGTTGTACGCTCTATTAAAGTCTTACTGATATTCTACAGTTGTTTTTACCAAACTCAACTTGCCAGAAGTTCAGTGACTAAGCCATGATAAATATGGTGAGGGTCCGCACAGTCTGCACACATGTAGACACATGTGCACACACTCACACACATGGAAATGAGATTAGCTTCTTTAGCCTTCACATGACCAATGATTACATTAGGTTGCAGTCACAGGCTGTTACTTAGCACGGCTGGGGTCGCAGGTCAGGAAAACACCCTCACAAGACACATATCAAACATGAGATATACACTCACCAACACATGCAGACAGATGTTATTTCTCTACTCTTCTTTTGAATAGTGTGACTAACACTAGTAGCCTATTCCTGAACTTGATGAAATGGTTGTGAGTATTTCTGTGGTGCAGAGTTCACAGAGTTTTTGGGTGGAACAGGTGCAGCTGGATAAAGTTAGGTGGGAGTATGTTCACTCAAGTGGAGGAGTCCTAAAATGGGTGAATAAGAGATGGCTACCAAAAAAATGAAATTATTTTCCAATTTATAGGAAACAAGGGTGGTAATATCTTTTAATGTCCTATTTGTCAACAACAATGTAATGCTTGCTTCCTGCAATAAAGCATCAACCGATGTCACACTGGTTGCTGTAGGCTGGACAATAGAGAGGACCCTTTCCCTGCCTACAATTTTAGAATGCCTATAAATGTAATTACATGCAACACGTTTCTGAATCATTTACTTGTATTGACTTTCCATTTACAATTCTTCAGCGTGGACAGGTTGTAGTGAAAGGAAAGATAATCTAAAAGCATTTAAAGCATTACTTCTGAAGTCAAGTTTGAAGTTTTGTTCTGACAACACTACACTTGTTTTTCTTTTCATCACTAGGTGGCTTGTTAAAGATGAGGTGCATGTGTGTGTGAGCAGAGTAAAGGGACAGAAACTTGCCAGCATGGACCACACTTAAGGCGGACACCACAGAGCTGATTAAAAAAAAAAAAAAAAAGACAGACAACTTGTAGAAATTAAGGTACAGGACTGGACCAGTAAAGCAGAAGGAGCCACCCACTGGACCACTTAGCACCTGAGTGTATCTAAAGTCAACTGAGGCCTCCACTTCACCTCCTTTCCTCTCTTTCTTCTTCAGGCCACAGCATCTTTTTACTGTGACACTGGTTCAGTGAAGAAATTCTTTTTTTCTAATTCCACCCTCGAGTGGGTCGGAGCAAAGGCTCAGTTATGGAGCACACCTCTGCTCCTTGTTTAATTTCCTTTTCAAGAACACTTCATTACTTCAGCTGCTTCACAACATGGAGCCTTTGACCCAGAACTACAGACAGTGGATGAGAGGAACCATAAGAAAACAGAGGAGAGGATGTGGAAGAGGCAGTAAAAAAGATGGATCCTCTTAATGTGCCAATATGGAGTGGTAAGTATAGACTGTAAACAACAGCTGCCATGTCTGTGGAGGAGAATCAAGCATGCCAATACTTAGCAGCATCCAAACATATTTGGTCTTTGCATAAAACTCTGTATCTATGGTGGCTTCTTCACAATGCAAGCAATATGCTTGATTAAACATTACAGTGTAAGCAACAACCTGGACAGTGTGTCTATTCCACAAACTGACTTACCTAGATTATCAGCTGCAGTGCAGCATAAGGAGTAGGATGGTATCAGAACCACATGGGGAAAGGAAAAGGGAAAAAGATCCAAGTCAACTGAAAGAGTGCCAGCACTTAACACTAATGCATCACCTAAAGCAAGGTGCAGTCTTGTGTGTCTGGATGCTCATTTAAGTATCGCGGGACTTTAAAGCAGTTGCAGTAACTGCCAGTTACATTACTTGCCACTTTGACAATTCAAAAATAAATGCCAAATATTAGCAGGTTTTTTTTTCTACAGATGACATCATCTGATATCAACAGTATCCTAAAAAAATGGTGTTTCAATATCAACAAACAAATAGAAAAATCTGAAAAATGGCATCAGGGTTATTGTTTCTTTCCTAACTGGTACACTGGTCCATTGATCAGTGGATTTAGATTTCACAATGTCTTTCAAAAGAATCGAAATTTGCTGGACAAGTTTAGTAAATCAAAGCAAAATGGGGGGCAACATGACAGCAATGCTAGTGCTAACAAATTGTGTGGTCCATCTTAAGCTTATGCCAGCAGTGTTAACGATTGTCAAAGTCATGCAAACAGCTGAAGGGCAATGACACAAGTCTTACACAACAGTATTAGTAAAGATTACTATTAAAATCTACTGCATAGTAGGAGTAAGAAGAACCCCCACCCTGTTTGTTTTACTTTTTCCTGACCTGAACATCTGTTGACTTTAGGAATGTGAGGCATCCACTGAATCAAACCTGAAACGATCAACATCCCTACACATACTGGAAGCATATTCATCCAATTCCTTTTTTGCGCATGTCATTTTTACTCTAGGTAGTTGAATGCGTATGTAGAGCCCGAGCCAAGAGAACTGCAGAGGGAGAAAGCCCCTGCCCTCTCAGAGACTGTTTACCAAGTAAGGTAATGTTTAGCCTTACTAGATCTGCACAAGTCTAATCAGTAACGACAAACTTCTCCTATACACATCAGTGCTGTCTTATGAAAACCTCATATATACAATTTGGATGTTTTCCAATAAAAGATGGTATTTTCCTTCACAAGTTGTTACTATGGCTTAACCTTTTTATGATTTCAATAATCAGATGTATCTATTAGTCCTTGCAGATAGAGGTCTTAAATCCAGTACAGCAAATCAAACTAAACTAAAATACTCCCAAAGCACAGGTGCACATCGTTTAAGTAAAACCAATTTTCACCAATAGATGAGTTGCTGTTTTTCTTTCTTCTGTCCTGATCTACACTTCTTGACACAGCATGCTGACCAAAGATTTCTAAATTTAGCTGCATCGGTGTCCAAAAAAAAAAAAAAAACCCAGAATACCCAGATGATTGATAATTCTCATAGAGGTCAATAAAAAACACATTTTCCTGTGGGCTGGCTTGTGATGGCATATATGGGAAAAGTACTGACTGAGAATTTCATGAAGCCAAGCCTTTTTTTTTACTTTGCTTAAGATATATGTATACAGCTTATCTTTTAGCATGAGGGGCATAAAAGAATCATGTTTCATGCTTTTGATTATGTTGCACACTGATAGAGGATAATAAAAACTTGTTCTTGTTTGCTTGTACACGAACTGAATCTGAAGACATTCTCTGACAGACACTTGACATGGTTATATTTACTGAGTTTAGCAGACAATGCTCATTAAGAATGTGTTTCCAATACTTTGCTAGTTTTAGTCCTGCACAATAAAGATAATAAATCTACTGTATATTGTGTAGTATGACGTTGTTCTGGTTTTCATACTATGTAGTCAAGATTTTACTAGTACAAGATTTAGTTCAAGATTGTTGGCACAAGATTTGTCTCCACTATTATCCAATATAATGTATTTAGCAGTTATTTTGTTAATTAAAATAAAAAATGTTGGCGTTTTTTACCTTTCTTTGCTTTCTTCTGAAGTTTCAATGTGTCCGAGGACTTCTTCTTTATTTCTTGCCGGGCTCTTTTATACTCTGGTTCAGATGGACAAGGGAAAAAACGTAAATGACTGTGTGAAAACTTGAAAACGTGTTGACGTTCAGTTTTTATACACTTAGTCATAATCTGTGGGACAGTAAACAACAAAACAAAAATGGTACAACAACCTAAATGTCAACCTATGCTTAAAGTCATTGTGTGTATTCACACTGACATGAATAACGAGTTTATGATCAGGTTTTTTGGAGTACCTTGTTTATGTTTTGAGCATGTAAACACCATATCCCATTTTAAAAACCTGGATAAGCCCATTCAACCCGTTAATGAGGAACCAGGATACTGGTGCATACAAACATTTAATCAAGGCAATTGAGAGCTGCTGAGTACCTGAACAGGTGCGGCATTAGCCAAGTGACGTAACAAAAATACAAGAAAATGTCAGCTGTGACAGCATCTCACTTCTGGAGCAATGAAGAAAGTGGGTTTTGTCTTTCAGTAATGAGAGAGCCTGCAAATCTTCATCCATTGCTCCCTGTCCTATACACTGTGACAGTGACAGGCTGGCTTCAGTGTGAAGAGCAGTGATATAAGAGTGGCGTGGCTGCTTTCAGGAATATCGTTAGATGAGTGAGAGACAGAGAGAGAGATGCGGATGTGCTCATAGCAGGCAGCTGTTGGCAATTGGAGCCTAACAGAAATTAGCAGCTAGGTTGTAAAGTGATAGCAACTGTATAGTGTAGTGTTTAGTATTTCCTGTCACTCTCATCTCCCATTGTTGGTTTGTTTTTCCAAACATCAGGGCACCTGTGCTAATAAACTTATGTAATCAGTAACCAGATCACTAGTATTGTTCCTGTATACAGGGAATATAAATAGCCTGATTTCTCTGTGCTTATGCAAACATCATATCCTGAGTTGGATCATAACCAGAATAAGCTTCATAAACGGGTTATTCATGTCCATGCAAACACCCTCATAATAATAATAATAACAATAATAATAATAATAAAACAATAATAACATTATACATACATTGGCATTTTACAATGCTTTCAAATGTTAGGGATGTATCATAAGGTCAAATGAATATCTGGATCAGCAAGTTATAGTTATGTATGTGTTCACATTTGTTTGTCTTACCTTTAGCATGGTCCTTGTCCAACGTGTTGACTCCTCTTTTCCACTCCTCCATCTGTTCTTGTAAAGGGTTGATCAGACCCTCCAGGAAGCCCCTGCAAAACACCAGGATAACTTTTTTTTTTTTTTGTAGAGGTTATTTTTAGGGCTTTTTGCCTTTGTTATATTGCAGCTGGAGAGAGACAGGAAAGTTGAGATAGGGAGGGGTAATGACACGCAGCAATGGCCTGATTAGTTAAACATTTAATAAGCAGATATTTAAGACTAACCTTTTCACTCCTGGAATTCATCTAAAACACCAACTCCTTGGGTTTGATATGTATGCAAAATATGTTTTAATCACCAATTATATGGCTGAGCAACCTTATTTTTTAAATGTAAAATACCAGAGCTGCTCTGCAGGGTTTGTCAGTATATCTGTCATGTGATTAGACAGTCGCAGACAGACTGTCAGACATATAAATATCTAGGTCTGGTTTGCCTGTCTGTACGGTCTTGTCTGTCAATCATTAACAGGCAGAGAGAAAGGGAGAAAAACAGACTGAGAGAAGAAAAGGTCTGCCTGTGTCTGACTGTGTCACAGGAGGACGTAAGAAGCTTATGCAGTCATGTCTGTCAATCATTACCCACCTGTGTCCGTCATGTATTTGAGATGTATTTGTGAGTGTGTTGAAGAGGCTGAGAGTGTGAGAGGTAGGCAGCTGCAGGCATGAAACTAAAATTAGATGTCTCCCTCTTGCAGACATTTCTCCAAAGTGTGTGTATGTGTGTGTGTGCCAGTAGGTGGGTGGTGGCCACAGCCCCCCTGTGTACAGCCCCTGCTATGGAGATCCGAGTGGAATCTCTGCTGAAATGCCACCCGAAATTAGAGAGCCCCTTGTCTGTGTCGTGTGTGTGTGTGTGTGTGTGACTACACTGAAACATTATAGATAAGACCAGACAAATCGTCTCTTCCCAGCATTCCGCAACAAGGGCCATCCTCACCCACACATACACAAAATGTCAAGACAAGGAGGATATGGTGAAGTAACAATTTAAATAGAGACCATTTTATTGGAGCTGTACTGTGAGGGAAGCAACTTGGGTCAAAATACACTAACTGTGACTTGATGATATAGGAAACACTATAAAAAGAAATAAACTTTAGATGCTTATCTTTGAACATTTAAAAAAAGCTCTGTATTGTCAAAAATCTAATTATAAGCAAATGTTACCTCACTCCAAACTGGCAGGGTGTGAGTGTGTGTAGAAGGGATGTTTTTGGGACATTAGAACTCCCTGTTAATAATCCCCTTTTAGCTCAGTAATACCACAGTTATGGGGCTTATGGACATGGTAACTCCAATTAAAATCCCAGCTCACACCCAGCCCCTCTTACATCCCAGACAATCATTCATCAAAATTGCAGATGGGACATATCATATCATATCCTGTATGTTAGTAAATGTCAGTAGTACTCTAGTTGAAGAGAGACAAAGAAAGGGTAAAAAATGTGGCTTACATGGAGAACTGTTTTAGTTTAGCTTCTATGCTGCGATGTCGCATACACATCCTGGTCAACGCTGATCCAATGTCTTTGGTCCCACCTGAAAGACATAAAAAAGACAAAAAAAAATTACATATACATGAGCTTTAATGTGGAAATTGCTACAATCATCCACTCATCAACACAACCAAACATCAGATATTAATCAGTATCACTACAACTCATTGGAGAAAGATGGGATATAGAGAAAATAGTGGGGGTCAAACTATACAGAGGAAAATATTCTTTGAATAATAAAAGAGTGCTCAAACACTTGACAATAAGATGAGGGCTAGAAAAGCCAGGGATAAAGGCTAAAGGGCAAATTCACACTGTGATTCAGAATGTAACAAACATATTTCAACTAACTATACTAAGTGACAATAATTTTCATTGATTATAAATAAAGAAATGTATCATATCCGCTTCAGCTACTCAGCCTGCTATAAAATAGGTATCTTAATTTCTCATTTATTTATTTGTATGTGAAAAGATGCAACTACAATTCATTGCACCCCTTGAAGGTTGCTGTACATCTAAAACCTGAATGTAAAGCAGGCTTTGTTTATCATTATGTCATTAGTGTTATCTTTTCCTGATTTTAAAGGCTGCATTACACTAAAATGATGTCATTTTCTGTACACACCAACAGTCAACCCAACAATATTGTCACAATACTGATACTGTGGTGTTTAGTAAAAAAAAAAAATCAGTATACAGTGGTGCTGTTCAAGTATAATGCTGTGCTTTAATTGATTTCCCTCTACACTGAGAGTCTACTGACTGCAGGAGAAAAAAAGTTTCAGGACTTCATAAATAAAACATCTGTAACATGCACTCACTGCCCCACTCTCTGCCCCACTGTGGGAATCAGTGTGAAACATAGTTACGAACTGCACACATATTCAGGTCAAGAGCAGTGAAGGGAAGTTGGAGCTGGAGCCTTGTAAATGTGCTAGAGGCTAATTTCAGTTTCCTTCACACAGGCTAACGAGCTGTCCACTGGAAGGCCTCAGGCTCGACAGCTAAGCAGGGCCCTGGCGTTGATTGACAGAACTATTGTCTGGCTGCTCAGTATGACTGGTGGGTTTCTCTGTGGGGTTTGAGGCACCACTGTGAGTGTGTGCGTGCATGAGAGAGAGAGCGAAGATGGGGGCAGAGAGATCTTGCATGAAACTGTGTGGGGTGCTTGCGACATTCTGTTGAGTGCATGAGAAGCCCAGTGATACTCTCAGTTGCGTGGTTTCGTGTGTGTGTGTGTGTGTGTGTTACAGACAGTTTGATTGTGACGATCTGATGTGAAGTGTGAATCCCCACCAACAGAGCAAGCCATTCTGCTGTCAGCACAGTCCTTGCTGCATGCAGAGACACACACACAGAACTGTCACTCACTCACACTCAGATTCACAACACACACACACACACACACACACACACACACATGTATTTTTCTCCATCAGAGACTGGACAAAACAGTTGAGAAGAGGCTGCTGATTTTGCCTACAACACTCACTCATGATAACTGGAGTGGTATAAAAAAGATCAGGAATAAAATGAATAAACTGACACAAACCTTCAAATTATAACTTTAGTTTCAAATGGTTAGAGTTAATATTCCAACTAAAATGATTAATAAACAACAGATTTGTGAAAATGCTTGCACCAGGACCAGACTCCTCAACACCTTATACTGGTGTGAGATTTTTTTAGAGTTACCCCATGTGAACTGTGAATCTCAGGCTGAGCAGGAGTGGGGAGAAGATGGGTTCAAAGTTTGGAGCATATGTTCTGAATTACTGAACGTCTAAATTCCATGATCATGTGTGAAGAAATGTTGAGTGGATAAAGTGTTTTCTTGTGTGTGTTTCTAAGTTTAAATAAGTTTCATAGATATTTGATGTCAGTTTTGCAAGATGTGGCCCTATTAGACAAGTTCTCTGCTTCTGTCTCTTTGTGGCTGCCTGTGGCTGCCAGACTGAATCAGTTCAACACAGTGGCAAAATATCTACCCTTTGCTCTACTCCAAAACTAAACCAGTGGAACAGCATCTGTACTTTTAAGTCTCAGCTGCTCACTGTGCTTTGCAGAAACAAAATGTAACACAAAGACAGCGTCACAGTGAATTAAGCTGTTCTAGATGTTTAATTACAACTTTCTGAAACATTTCAACAAAACAAAATTTAATGTCAGTCCCACTGAGCCCACTATGACCTCAGTTTTTCCCTCTATCCATTCATTTATCCATTCCACTTTCACTGTGCATGCTTGTTATTGCAGAGGGTGTGGCTACTACATGCCATAAAAGACCTTTCTGTTATACAACACCATAATTCCCATTCATTCCTGCGTGGACTTGTTTAGTCATCCTATCCATCCATCCCTCTGCCCATCTCACCCTTACTATGAGTACTTGTTATTCTAAAAGGGTGTGGCTGATAGATGCCACAGTGCCACAAGGAGGCCACGCTGCCAAAAGAAAAAAAAAAAAAGTAGGTTTCAGTGCTGCAAACGTTTTTCATTTGGCTATTACTGTAGAGTCATGTAGCAAATGCTTTCAAAAGAAGAGCTTCAGTTGTTCATTCATCTGCCAATACCCACCTACACACCCACCAAAATCTGCTCTTGGCTATATACACAGGTGTGCCGTTATGGGTGTGATAAAAAGATTAAACTCCAGCTCACACTTAAGTCAGATTTTGTAAGATTATTGCAATACCTCCATTTAAAACATTTTTTTTAAAAAATTCTAAAGGCAGTGAGTTTCTCTGGATGGCACACTTCCTTTCACCAGGTCGTATTTGAAAGAGACAGAAATTTGTCTGCAGACGTTAGAGTTGCTCAAGACATGGGTATGGCAAAAGAGCTCCTCCCATGCCAAGAGCATAAACGGGCAGAAATAAGAATTAACTGAGCCTTGCAACTAAAATGACAACACCATGGCAGCATGATAATTATGATAAGGTCTTTTGTTAAGCTAAAACACTTCAGCAATACCACATACTCCACATGTGAAATAGACTTTTTGCTTCCACAGCAGGTAGCAGCCATGACTGACAGTTACCAAGGAAACTGTGTATGTGTGCGCCTGTAACAGTGTTACGAGGTTAGGCCCCTTTAGTTTTCTGCCATGTATAAAGTCAGTGACCTGTCATACCCTTTAGGAAGCATATTCACACACATACCCTACACATGCACTCCAATATAATGCACAGTACAGCAGCGTGTGGTTGTACTGATTCAATGTCTTTGCACGTTTTTGCCATATTGTGATATTATTTTTAAAAAAAATACAATTCTCATTAATCATGATATCGATTTCAACCATATCGCCAACCACAAGCCCACACATGACATGCAGTCAGAGAAGTGTTAAGGGTTAGGGTGCTGGCCAAAAGTGGATATCAGGCCAATCTGCCCTGTTTGTGGAAAGTCGCTCTGTTGCTCTCAGGATAAAGTGGCTGCTAACACACATCGTCTACTTTGTCTAGCACCGAGTGACCCCTGGATAGAAATAGCTCCATTGGCAGCACCAGTTGTCTACCACACACACACAGACACGCACAAAAGCAAGCTTCGATTGCTTCAGTGCATGGCCAGACCGCTGCCGTGTGTTCGTGTGTGTGTGTGTGTAGTGGCATAGCTGGCTGTCAGTAGAAATAGCTGCTGTGTGACACGGTTGTTTTGGAGGCTTGTAATTATCCCTGCACCACCAACACTTAACCAGTCAATAACACACACATACACTATAGCACCATAAGCTTGTCTTTTTGGCGCATCAGTGTACAAACGATGCTTAACTGATGCCTTTGTTCAAACCTAGTGACCCAGGAGGCAGCACGAGAAACTTCAAGAAATTTTAATGGTTCACAGTATTTCTGGTCCACACAGGATTTAGGTAGCATTCCAAAAAACACCAACCTTATCAGACCTAACCAATTACTATTGTCCCATAGTAAAGGGTAGACAGTATAAAGTCAATGGACTGTCTTGCAGCTGTTCATCAGTTCTCTCTGTATCAGGTTGTAAAACCAACAAACCACTACTTTTCATTTATGTCCTACAAAGACTTTTTCTCTTGGTCTGTGATATTACAGCTTTCTGTGGGAACTACAGTTTCAATAGTCATAGGACATTTGTGACAGAGGTGATAGTTTTCTGTCAGTGTGTGTGTGTCTATGTGTGTGACATTTTGATGTCGAGCTGCCAAGTCTGTCTCTGTCCTCAACCCCCTTCCAGACTGTTCCTGGGAATGTCACACTGTGCTGACGCAGTGTGTGTGTGTGTGTGTGTGTGTGTGTGGTTTTATGCATTTTGTAAGAAAGCAGATAAAGGACTTTAAAAGGGCAGTAGATAAAAAGGTTAATGTATTGATAAAATGCAGCAAAAAGGGATTCTTTCATTTAACTAGCGCTCATAATGATGTGTAGCCTCTTGGTCCATGGTTAAGACATCCTGTGTGAGAAACCACTGTTTATTTTTGGCTAGTCTTGTAATTAATTCACTTGGTAAATAACCATAAATACAGGTGGAACAGGAGTACCATGAACCATGTTCACACAACTCTGACTCTCACATAGCACACCTTTATTGTTATTACATAGTGGGACTTTGCTTCTACCTTGGGCTGTAGCGCACTTAACTCTCTCTATGTATCCCAAATTGCCAACTATCCAGCCTAAAATTTCTGACTTATTGCTAAGTTTCTTTAACCTGTCATACTTAGAATACACCTTAATTTATTAAAATGATACACCAGTCTAAAAAGGTACTCATGTAGAGCCTACAGTTTGTGCTTTCTGCTAAACACACTAAAGAAAGTGTGAACACACTTGGCCAGTCTGAACCTTTACACAGATCTCAGCTTGTCATTAGAGAACAGAGGGAAATCTGATATGAAGAGAGAAATAGGAGTGATTTAGGGAGGAGTACAGAAGGAAGAAGGGAGAGAAGAAAGGTAAAAGTTAAAAAAAATACATTCATATACAAGGCAGAAGAGAAACAGAGAGAGGAGGAGGAATAGCACTTAAAGGCAAAAGGGGAGAAGGAGAAATAAAGAAAGAG